ATAAGTAGCGTTGCAGAGAATAGTAAGAAGAGTAGTAACGTAGAAGTGCTAGTCGCAGAGATAGTCCGCGACTTGCTTATAGAAATTCTCTACGTTAGTAATAGTAGACGTAACTACACTATAGTACGTACTATCTTTAGTAGAGCGGTCTTAACCTATCTAGATAGTAAATAACTTAATATTAGTCTTGCTATTATTAGTAGTATTATTATATTATTATAACTTAATCTAGTCGCGTAGCTTAGCGTTACTGTTATAGAAGAGAATACGTGCTTTATATAAGTTATTCTATAGTACTTCTATAGTAACGTTACTAATTTTAATATAGATATACTTATTATTATCTTCTAGGATATTAGATTCTTCGCGACTACTATCTAAACCTACTAGTTAGAGGAGTTGCGAGTAGAATATATAGAAGAAGCTCTCGCGTTAGCGATTAGATTTCGCGATTAGTAGAAGTAGAAAGATTAAGCTTTTACGTTGCTAATTAGATAGCAGTAGCAGAAGGCGTATACTTTCTTAGATATTATCTATAATAGTCTAGGATTAACTAGCGTCTTCGCCGAAGCTAAAGCTTATAGAGAATGCGCTAGGTATATTAAAGCCTTTACTTTCTATATTAGTAATGTAGAAGATAGAGTGTAGGTATCGCGGAGACGCCTACTAATAAGAGCGTATACTACGTCTACTTACTTAGTGAAATATTTACTATCTTCTTATTTACTAGTAGAATAAGCTAGTTCTCTACTAACTCTGCGATCTATTATTATTCGTGTAACTAAGTCTAATACTTCTATATAGCGTCCTCTATTAACAAAACTAACTATTATAGTAGTAGGCTTTTAGCTATCTCTAGCCTCTCTTGTATCTTCGCAGCTCTATACTTTAGTACGCTCTTAGCAGAGTACTTAGCTAACTAGCTCGCGAGTTCTACTCTATAGTTGTATAATAGAGCTCTATAAACTTATTACTAGTATAGCGCTTTAATAGTGTTGTTTCTAAAAGAGTATATATATCTAATTTATTCGATAAGCAATAGCGATCGCCGCGGCAGCGTTAGGCTTTCTTCGGCTTGTCTTAAATTATGCGCGGTTATTATTATCGTCGCGACTAATTGTAATATAACTTAATAGAGCTAAGAGTAGAGTCTAGATATAGGTATTAAACGTAGTATAGTGTAACGAGTAGAAATATAGGTTAAGATTATATTACTTATAAGATACTACGTTATTAAATAAACTACTATATAGGTAAGGTTTTAATATTTCTTACTTAATTAGAGCTAGGCCTAATTAGGTAGAGATTGCAGGTTCGATCTATAATATTACTAAATACTAACTTTTTAGAATTCTAGAACTCTAACTTTTTACTAATATTCTTATACTAATTAATCTATAGTAGTAGTCTTTAACTACTTTAGCTAACTAAATATTTATACTTATATATAGATAGTTTAGAATAGCTAATATAGTAATATCTAAAAGTTTACTATACTTAGTATATTTTTTCTAAACTTAATAAAATAACTCTAAGAGCCTAGCTTATAAAAATTTATATACTTTTAATAAAAAATAATAGTATAAACTTAACTATACTATAGCTTTTATTAGTAAAAGTATACTATTAAGATACTAAGCTATTTTAGATACTATTTACTAGTATATTTAAGTAAACTAAAAAGCTATAAAAACCTACTATAATATTATTTAAAACTTAGCTATAGCTATTAATAGCTATTTATTATATCTAAAAGTATAGAAATAAATAAAAGATAAATTATTATATTATAAGCTTACTTAGAAAGCTCTTTTAAGTAGTAAAGCTTTTAAGAGCTTATTATAATCTATACTAGTATAATTATATATAATACTCTATAAGAGTATCTAAAGGTATATTTTATAATACTACTATAGTAGTATAACTATACTATAAATTTACTTAAATTTTACTAAAACTTACTAAATTTTTTAGTATTTTTTAGTAGATTACTAGTAGTCTAAAAGCTATTTTTATTTACTTTTATTTACTATTTTCTTACTATTTTATATTTATATTTACTATTTTTTCTTATTTATATCTAATATAGTAGTAAGCTACTTTAATACTACTAAAAAGTAGTATTACTACTAAATATAATAAGTATAAAAAGTATCTAAAAGCTTTTCTTTTCTCTTTAATATATATTTATTTACTCTAAAATAAGCTTATAAAGTAGTATAGTAGTACTATAACTTTTTAGTAGTACTTACTAAAATACTTTCTAGAAAGTTATATATAGGCGTAAAACTAATATTAATTAAACACTAATAGTTATGCGATCGCTTTACTAGCCCGTTGCATTGCTTTCCGTTTCCCCTCTAGGTGTCGCTAGTCTAGGATTATCCTAGTACAATGAGGTCAAATCTGATGGCTTTCGCGAGAAGGCCCGCATTCAACTCAGACTGTCCATACGACCGATTTCTATTGCGCCTAAGTATCTTGGTTAAGACTCCCACAGTGCATACTGTCTACATATCAATCGCACATCGATCTTGTACTCGCTATGTTGGCATTCCATGACAGCATTCAAATATCACGACATGATAGTGACAACCTAGTATGCTAGGTGCCAGTCGCTTTGAACATCAACCCGCCCAATTGATGTGTGGCCCTCCGTACTCCAGATTGAGAGCTTCACCGTGGAATCTTCTTTATGATATTTTTGAGTGTACTGGAATGAGTTTGAGGTCTGTTTTAAGCAAGCGTAAGATCTCATCCATCGTTAGCATTAGTTATCTATTGACTATAAGAATTTCTCAGTATCTTCAATTACTATCGTACCGCGGCCTGGTTGATCATCTCTCGGGGCCCTCCATTTCGTTCCTAACACGATGTGGGTATCACACCTTCCCCGGCAGCTCAGCAGGCACCATATTCACAGCATGTCCTTCAGATATCTCAACTGGACCATGGCTGCTGTCCCATTGATACCCCTTCTGCATATATCGCGAATTGTGTGTGCTCAATTCAGCGTTGTGTGTGAGGTCATCGTGAGGATCGTAGATGTATCCTGGGGGCTGTACCGTCGGTTCTGTAGCACCACGCTTCCTCCGAATGAGCACGACACCAAGGATAGTCAAACAGATCACTGTGAGCCCTCCTACCACTCCTCCTACTATTGGCCCAATGCTTGTTGACTTTTGTTCGGAAGCCGGGGCTGTCGGATTCGATGTTGATGACGGTAAAGGTAAGTCGGATAAGATACTGGCGCTCGAAGTGAGGGGCGTGGTACTCTGGATAGCGGAGTTCGCTGGTGGCGATGTTGAAGCAACCGAGGAGATGCTGCTGCTCGTGCTGGAAGCGGATGTTGTCGTTGCTTCCACCGCGTTCGGGACGGCGAGAAGACTGTCTGTCCTCGCTTTATTTCCGCAGGCAATGTATTCGAATGATTGATCTGGGCCATTAATCAAGAGCACCGTAGAACAAAACTGCTTGGCTTCGCTAGAACACTGTGTTAGAGGGCCTCCTTGCACTATCTCTGAAGCCATGGAGCAACTGACCAAGAAAAGGTGGTAATATCTGATCGATCAGATAGCCTTCCACAACCAGCCGTACAAGAGTGCTCATCTACGCACATGCCAGCTAAACCGCAGTCTTTGGCCGATATCACACTCGTTGGACAAAATCCCCAGAGGCCGTTCGCGGTGTCGACACGGCATCCATAGCCGGGGTCAGCAGTTCGAGGACTCTGGGCATCGCCGTCAACGTAGCCACAAGTAGTGATAGGTGCGAAGGCTTGTCGTTCAAACATCCGTTCGTGAGCGTGAGATGCTAGCTCTGTCGCGTTTGGTCCGAAGGGCCCGATTCGGCTGCGAATTATGGCAGGGCTTGGAGAAACCAGCTCCATAGAGGTCAAGACGACAAGGATGATCAACCTGAACATCTCTCAAAGTGAAATGTTGAAACGAATGACGACGCGTAGAGCAATAGACGAAAGAAGAGATACGGGTACCTGCGACACAAAGAAACACGCAGTTTATGGCATCCCCCAACCGTGCCGCAAATCCACAGTCGCTGGGCACGCGAAATGAGCCATTGTCTGTACTACCTCTATGCAGCCACTGTTTCATGGGGCGAAGATGTCGGGATATTTTTAGGGTGCAGGCGGCTTCCGAGAGTAGAGAGTGACGCTATCAGAGTAAGACGGGTATTTAGACGCACTGAGAGGTGCAATCGGCAATTGGCGTGGAAGCTTGTCTTGGCAGCCAGTGCGTGACGCCGTTCCAGCGCGTTCGTTGTTGTGATAAACGCTTGGGCCCGCCTGCCGAGGTGCGTCATTGGTTGCCGTGCCCCGCGGCCTTTGCTAAGCGCCTACTCATCTCCCACGCGGGACGGTACGAAACCGCAACTATGCACCGTGCACTCTGCAGGATGCGGCGCAGTCTCGCAGCGCCAACTTCATCCACTTCCAGTCACTCAGGAATCGCCCCTCGAACCGACTTCAGCGGCTCAACTGTTGCTCGATCTCGCCCCGGTCCTTTTCCTCCTCGCCACTCTCGACTTCTACAATGGCAGCATTTTCACGGAGCTTGCGATCGCTCCTGCAGGCAATCGCGTTGCTCAGTGTCATCTTCTTACTGATAGCTGGGTTTGGGTTCCTTAACCTATCGCATATCAAACCCATCGTCACTGGAATACTTAAGCCGTCTCCTGCAGCTACTCCTGTGGCTGATCCTCCAATAACCCCGCAACCTCCCGAGCGCCTCGATAACAGCGACGGTAGTCCTGAGCCATCAGCAAACGACAATATCACTGCCATTATCCATTCAATCCTGTCACCATCGGATTCAAAATCGGGCTTAGAATGTCCTCCATTCAATAAAGATCGTTATGCCTACTTGGGAGGAGGCTCTTCTGGATCCCTCCAAAGCGGGCGACTCCCACGATATTTCTTTGCATTGGACTTACATCAATGTGTCCATCTCCTTCCGCAATTGATTGGTTCCATCGTAGAAACCATGTACTTTCTCGGGCCACAGAACTGCGTCCTTTCCATAGTCGAAGGAAGATCCGACGATGGCACCTTTGAAGTACTTAACCAGCTCAGCGCTAGCATGACGCTCCTTGGAATTAGATACCACTTCAAATCGAGCGACATCAACCCTTTGGCCAAAGGAGGAGACCGTATCGAAGGCCTTGCAAAGCTCCGCAACCTAGCCGTGAGAGACCTTATCGCACATCCGGAGCATTACGACGAGGATACTACGGTGATTTTTTCCAACGACATAAGTTTGTGTATGGAAGACATCCTGGAAATAATACATCAGCGGAAGTTCCAGGGAGCCGATCAGACATGTGCCATGGACTGGACATACGTTGGTGACAACCCGACTTTCTATGACGTTTGGGTAAGTTCTGACTGTACGAAGTGCATGTGAGATATATACTGACTTCGTACCTCTACCTCTGCAGATCGCTCGCGGCAAGTTTTGACTGTACGAAGTGCATGTGAGACATATACTGACTGAGTATACCCATTTCTAGGAATGACTGGGGACCTATTCTTCAATATCCCGGAAGACGGATCATGGGATAATGCCTGGAACCTCTTCCATAATGACCCTAAGGCACACGCGCGCTGGTCGAGTTCGAAACCATTCCAGGTGTTCGCATGCTGGAACGGCATAACAGCCTTCACCGCGAAACCGCTCATGGAGAAGAAGATCAAGTTTCGGGCGCATAAGGAGGGCGAGTGTTTCCAAGGCGAGCCGAAGTTGTTCGCCAAGGACATGTGGTTCAACGGCTATGGCAAGATTGCTGTAGTACCAAGCGTTAATGTCGAGTACAGGTAAGTTACGACTGTACGAACTGCATATGAGGCATTTACTGACTTCGTGGCGCAGCAATGAGGCAACTCAGAAGATAAAAAACCTAAAAGGTAAGCCTGACTGTACGAAGTGCACATGAGACATATGCTAACATCGTCCCTCTATCTCTACAGGCTATACATCTAAGCATGTTGCCAATGAAGGAGATATAAAGATCGAGTGGGAAACATCACCTCCAGCAAAGGTGAAGTGTATGCCGGACTATCGACATCAAACGTTTGTTGCTTGGGACGAGGGGCTGAGGCAGTAATGTAATCAGAAATGAAATATTAATACCCGCAAAGACTGTGATGGTGATATCTTTCATGCTCCATGCATACTACTCTAACTATGTTGCACGCTACACCCTTCTTGTAATCACCACACGTATGTCGTTGGTCGGCTTTCTAACTCCGGTTCCTGGAACCTTGCCCGGAAGCTTCCATGCCCCGTCCGCTGGGCCAACGTCCCACATTGCAATGATAGCAACAGCTAATGTCACGATCTCCTTCTCAGCAAATATCCTCCCTTTACAGATTGCAGAGCCAGATCCCCATGGCTTCAGTCGTCCATATCGAGCAGTAAGCTTCCCGGATGACGGGTCCAGCTCCAGAAATCGTCCAGGGTCAAACTTATCGGGATCGCTGTAGATCGAAGCATCGCGGTTCACCAGAGAATAAGGTACAGACACAAATGTACCTGGCTTGAGTTCATGTCTCAATTCTCCGTCCGTAACGTGAACTGAGCTTGAACCGACAGACCTAATGGACCTAAGATGTGGGTTTACGAGGTCAGTAAATGTCTCACATGAAGTTCGAATGGGGAAACAAACGTTGGTTCGTTGACAAGACGGTAGGTCTCGTAAATACACGCCTTCAGCAACGGACAATCCCTTGACAAGCCTCGCATATCCAGCGATATCAATTCTCTGGGGATGGACGTAGACATCGTAACATATGGAGTCAGTTCCTCGCGGAGTTGCTCCAAGATCTCGGGCGTGGAATATACGTAGGTTAGCAGCCAGAAGAGGAGTGGTTGCGTGTTCGCATTCTGACCCCAAAGGAGTCCAAGGTCTCCAGCACCACGCTCAGGGAAGGACCAACCTTCCCTCCTGTAGACATTGTTCCTTCCCAATGCTGTTTCACCGACGTCGCGCATATCAGCGTCGAAATCGACAGGATCTCCCTGCTGGTACTGGTCGATTCGGCGATACAAAGCCTCGAGTTCAGTGATGAGACGGGTCCGCGCAGCGAGACCCTCTTTCAACACTTTCAAAGGAGCCCACAGTGGCAGCCCAATCATTAAAAGGGGAAAGAGATCGTTATCAAACTTCCACAGATCCTCTAGTGCCTGTGGATATCGATCGAGGAAATCGCGACCGTATAGCTGTGGGATAGCGATGCAGGCACCAAAGTCTCGAACCAAGCTTTGGAAATTTGCCTCCACTTTCTCAACACCACCGGATTCAGGGTTGATCACCCGAATTTGTGCCGAATGCTCCCACAACTCCATGTCGCGAGGATTGGACTGGAAGCTCACGAAGGACTTCGCTTTTTCGGGTATGCAGGCTCTCTCCAAAGCAGCAGTAGCAGCGATCTCGTTCATGAAGACTTTCTCGATGGGTGTTCGTAGATCCTTGTTTGAAGCGTCCAGCTTTTCTTTGAATTGCAGTGAGTCTACGCCGCCGAATACACGGACGAGAAGGGTGTACTGAGACGGCAAAGGATCTAAGATGGATTTTGCCATCAACCGTGTGATGTGCGGCGAATCGATGAGTATTTGGTGTTTTGATGAGAGCCCAAAAAGAGATCCACTGTTTCGCCGCAGCAACATCCTACAAACGCGAACATGAGTATTATTTCTGGATGAATAAAGCTTCATGGTACTCACAAGATACGGCGACCCAGTCCATTCTCGGAGAGAAGATGCGAAGTTAACCCAATCTCAAGTGTTGCCCAGACGGGAAACAGCTGGTACGGTTTCGGTTTCGACGCCACTCGAACGATAAAGATGACGAGGAGGAGGATGATGGCCACAGCAATGACAGAAGTGTTCGCTGCCGCTTTCCAGCTCGCTAGCTGGGAGGCATCGGCATGCGATGAGTGCATTGTGTTTCCCATAGCCGGACGACTGACGAGCGTTTCCTATATGGTCGCTTTTATAGCGTTGGATGTGCGTGGCCTGGTGTTGCGATCGTATGGCATTGAAGGAGAAGCTGTGACTCGATTTGGGGGCCGGGTGTGCAGGCTTGATAAAGCGGCCTCGGAAAACGTGTCAGCCGTATCAGCCGTATTACCCTAGGGTTGTACCTATTGCTGATGGCCTTGGCGTCTCGTAAGGTTCAAATATTTACGGCGCGGCAACAGGAGGCTCCGAGTGCCGGCGGTTGTAGCGGCGCGTGGTGGTGCTGCTCTGCTCGACGTTGATGTTGTCTCCCGTTGGTTTCGTCTCTGACTGTACAACTGATTCCTGCATACGTGGAAAGCTAGCTCTACGTGCCTCGCGCGCCTGAATACGCCCGAGACGGTATGATTTGATGAGACAAATGGCACGAGATCGAATAACCTGTCAGCAGCCACGGGGTCCACGTCGCAAGCGAACAACTTAGGGGAATTAGGCAATAACGGCAGAACGCGAAGATTCGCAGGGCGTAAGTATTCGCAACACGATGTGTGTTGGGTGAATGCGGTCTTTCGCCCAAAGAGGTTAGACCGTCTATGCGCGCGAAGAGTGGACCCGCGGCAACAACCCCATGGATAGTTGGAAGGAACAAACGACTGCCACGTCCTCGTAGAAGCCAGAATGAGTGTTCTGGGCATCTTATTATGTCCAACCTCGCCTGGGCGTACCTGCACTCACAACTACGCCGCGCCTGCCTGCGTTCATTGTGCATCGACACCGCCTGACGCCAAGGGTCTTTACCAACATCGTCGGAGTAGACCTGCGCTAGGGATTTAGAATCGTCCTTCGTTCCTTCCGCTACCATGACAGCACAGAGAGTACAATGTCCTATATGTCTTAAGGACTACAAGAATGAAATGAGCTTGAGGACGCACATGGTTTTACACAACGATGAAGCGAAGAAAGCAAAACTTGCATCAAGGACGCGATACCGTGAGGCAGAGATATTGGCAGAGACATGGAAGTGCGCAAAATGCAGCAAAATACATACCACTAAGAACAACATGATTCAACATCTGCGCACACACCACCGAGAACTATCCAACTCTTCATTCGAGTGCTCTGTCTGCCCGGAGACCTTCAACAACAGAGTGACTCTGGAGGAACACCACCGAACCGTACACGCAATGGACACCGCCCGAAAGACCACCGTAGATGAGAGTCTTGGGTCTACTCTCGGCCTCGAATGCATTTACTGCGGCAGGAAGTTTTGGACCCAGAAGAAGAAGAATACTCACATCGACTTCAGATGCCCCGCAAGAGAACATGAACCCTACCCTGCGCGCAACGGTAACACTAAGATACTCCGAGATATTGAACAGATTGAAGAAGCTATGCCAACTATGGATCGTATTGACAAGCCCGTCTACCAGAACATGTTGACGACGCTGTACCAGCAGCTGTCGGGATGGCAGCGGCAGGATGATGATGGGAATCCGTGCCTCGTGTCTCTCCGCACAACAAGCCTTAGACTCCATCACCTCGGAAAAGGAATGAAACTGAACAGTTCTGCAGACTACGCTATGACAAAACAAGCAAATCGGAAGATCTATCGTCAATGTAGGCTCCAGAGTGGTCTCTTGAAGGCCACCAAGGTACACATAAGAGCATGAAAATAAGACTCACTGTCAACTTCCTAGTCTGTGAACGGGTCTTCCTAGCGGCCGCAAGGTGTTGCAGCATTGTCACAACGCCGATGTGCCAAACCACGACCCAGCGGCCGAAACTGGATACAGAAGATCCAAGTAGAAGCATACTATCGCCTTCTCGAAACTCAATTCTGTTTATGCTGGTTGGCAAGTGCCTTCTTGAACGGGGCATATCATCCTTCGATCTGCACTTCTGCAATCAGACATTTTGACTACGAGTAATTGTGAAGTCATCATCAGCGACCGTGTTATAGAGTACGGCAATGCACAGCACATAGATCGGAGATGCACATATCTCATTCGCAAATACTATAGTATCTACAAAGCAGTCTTCCCCTCATCTCTAGCAAAAGCAGCCCCGCTAAAATCGACACGATAGAAACAACGCCTGCCAAATGCAAAGTTTACTCCTCACCCTTCGTTACAGCTTGCCTTTTTTTCGAAAACCGTCCTGAAAAAAAGTTTTCCCACAAAGGCCAGGCTGGCACCTGGGTCTAAAAAAGCCATTTGAACATGGACCGCGGCAAGCTCCGGGTCCTTCCTGAAAGGGGGTAATCGTTGAAGAAGCGAAAGAACATATCATAGCAAACGAGATCTTCGTGACGTAAAATAGTGCAATACACATAAAGGAAATAGTGCCTCGTGATGCCGAAAGGCATGTAGACGTGAAGACTGGTATCAAATTCTGGCCATGAGCGAAGGGTATCTGGTGGTATTGGAAAGTCGTGAGCTTGATGTGATGTAAGCGTCTCGTCCTCCTAGTAGGAGTTGGTGGTAGGCTGAGGTGGAGGCGTAGACAGGATCGAGATGCCCATGGTAATTATAGCAATCAAGAGTCATAGGATACTGCATGCGCTGCCCGAAGACCTATCGATACGTTGTCAGCTACTGCGCCGGATATATCTTTGCGTCGAAAGTATCCAAAACCAATGGCATGGACGGAAATGTGTCACTGACACTCATGCGATATCTCTATCGTCATAGTGATCAGCGCACAAGCAATGATCCACGTCTCTCCGCGGAAGCCATGCTGCATGACGGCGGGACGATCACCGTTTGTGCTTGTGTCACCCAAGACTTAATGCATGTGCCGGGTTCCTGGTGCCGAGAGCCGAGGGATTGTGGAGATGAATAGATAGGAAAAGGTAGATGCTTACCATCTTTGCCCGCGGATCCTGCCAATCCACGAGTAAACAATCTTCAGACGCTCGCGAACCCTTTCTGTTTGTAATAAAACATATTTCTCTTCTTCCACGATTGGGACGACAGAGGCAAACCAGTATGGAAATATCGCGGGGTCCTCAGGTGGTTCACCGT